TCAGCTCACTCTATCTCTGCCTCAGCGCACGCTAAGCCGGGGCTTCCCCTCACGCTAGGCCGCTGTGTTTTTCATTGTGAAAGCGAAACTACTTTGTTTGGTCTTCCACAAGAGGACACGACTGCAAATCAGTGGTTAAGTTGTATTTACAACACTGTTCCAGAACAGTTCAACCCAAATATTCAGATGTGTGCAGCACATTTTATGATCCTGGGAGAGTAACGTTAGACTACAATGTCGGCAGTTCTGACTCACGTAAGTACGTTTTCATTTAAAGGATTTGCCACTGATGATTCAAACGCAAGTTTTGGGCAGTGTGGAGTAGCGTTTGTTGTTTGTCATTTCTCTGATCACAAATGCAGACAGGGTTTTATGTTTACGCGGCGCGATGCAATGCAACGCAATGCGTAAAAAAGGCAGTATAAGTCATTATAATCAGTAATTACGTCCCCACTGGATGCAACAAATGCCTCGTTTGTAATGGGTTATAATGTTTTTGTCTCTCGCTTCGGCCGGGTCACAGCATCAACAGTATGTGAGAGGCGTAACATTTCCGTCACACGCTTGAGGTATTCGGCCAATCACAACGCATTGGATAGCTGGCCAATCAGAGCACACCTCGCTTTTTCAGATCGATGAGTTTTGTAAAAATCGACACGTTTCAAAAAGGCGGGGCATAGAGGAGAAACAATAATGTACAGTATGTGGAAAATAATGTGTTTTTTTTTTTTTTTACTTTAAACCGCATAAACACATGTCATTACACCAAATACACAAAATAATGTTCTTTGTAGCAACATCATATGACCCCTTTAAACTTTTAGAAAACACATCACAAATTTGTGGAGGTTTATTCCTTTTCACTGCGTCTCATATGTTTTGAAATGCAATCTGTGTGAATGGCGCTTCGGCTCTTTGTATTAAGCAATGCATAAATACATGATGCTGTTTTGTTCATAATTGTTTATGCAATTTACGAAATTATATTTGATTTTTATGAGTTAATTTAGACGTAATGCACGTTTTTTTTAATAGAGTGCCTTCCTTGTGCTGACCATTTTTAATGCGCTACATTATTTTGCTCATTGCGCCAAAATTAGATGTTTGTTAAATTTTTATTGTGTGTTTGATTTTTTCAAAATATTTATTGTGATATTTTGAAAAAATATTTGTTGTTTGTCTCAGTAAATTGGGTTAATTTAAAAATACAGTGGTTACATTTAAAAAAAAATTCTATTG